ACGGCTAGATAAGATATGAAGAAGAAGATACTGAAAACAGATAGCGTAGTTAATCGTATGATGGTTAATAAGGATTTGCTGTCATAATTCCAATATCAGCGAAAACACTACGAGTGACGAAACTAAAGCATTTTAGGGTAGCCATCCATAGAAAGTAACAAATTAGGTTATTTTATTACCCATTGATTTGGGGTGGCTAAGGTTATATTACAGAAACGGCTAATTAATAGGACTGTATTAAAATATTATTTAAAGATAAGTTATAGAGGTAAAAATAGTTATAACTATGTTTTCTTTGTAGGTAAAAAAACTAATGCTACAAATCTTGTCAAAAATAAGGAAAGCAGTTGTGTATTGACAATTTTGTTTTCTGTTAAAATAAAAGTGTTTTAAAAAATTGGTTAATAAGAAAAATGGTTTAATTTGTTACATTCCTACTGGGAAATAAGGAAGTATAAAATATAAGCGTGTTTCATTTCACACAGAGAATTGCAGATTTTATTTTATTTAATACCAGCTGGTGGACCGAGCTCTCTCGGTTTTTGTTTTTTATAGGTTAGTTTCAAAATAACTGGCCTCATACGTCTGTGACAGACGATTTATTCAGTGTCTTAGGCAAGATTTTTCATGGCTGTATAAGCCGATACGGGAGCGGCATGACTTTCCGCACGCTCTACAGAATAAGCTGTTACTAGGGATGTGACTTGAGCAATAAAAAATCGATTATTTCTGGTCGCAAAAAAATCGATTAAAAATAAATTGATTTTTATTTACAAAAACATCGATTTTTAATAAATTTCGATTTTTTCGTTTTGCACCTTTAATTTTATAAAAAAATGTTAGTGCCATTCACTTTTTTAATAATTTGCAAGACATTTTACATGATTTTACTAAATTTCAAGTTACATATGCAGTAAACTTCATACAACGTGTTACAAAACAAAAAACAAATCCGAAAGAAGGTCGCATAACGACCCGATGAACCCTGGTGTCACAATTTTACAACCGCCCACTAAAAGTACCGCTACTACACACAATATTAAAACGGTTCCTTTCTTTTCATGCCGGCAAAACAGTATTTTCAGTGTCATCTGCAGCAAAAATTAGGGACCTAAAATATTTAAGACCAAGAAAATTGGGTATGGTGTGTTATAATTCATGCATAATCAAGACGATTGGTAAAATAAAATGAATGAAAAATAAAATCGATTTATTATTCTGGAAATTTTGAAAATATAATCGATTTTTTATTAATCGGTTAATTCTACTCCTTTAAATAATCGATTAATCGATTTTTTTTCCAAATAAAAATCGATTATATAAAAAATCGATTTATTTTTCACATCCCTGGCTGTTACTCACCAACAGATGTCGTTTTGTGTGAAGCAACGATTTTTGGAAAATGGAACCTATATAGATCGATATATAGGTTCCATTTTCTTAGGAACTCCTCATAATCGTTGGAGCCGTATCCGAGATCTCAAAAATATACAATTCTTGCTTATTTAAAGGTATAATATTCTTTTTATTTACATCTGAGTATGTCCAAACAATATTTATATAACGTTTCTATCATCCACTTTTTGATACTGTGCCGTTGGTATTTACGTCACAGCTACGCTCTGAATGCTATCAATGTTCCACAAAGGAATTCATAAACGTAATACCTACCCAACATACGAAATACCTACACAAAATACCAGGTTAGGTTACCCTGTTAGGGACCCGAATTAATAAGATGTTTCTGAGGCCCACGAGGGTAAGGAAATGAAATAAATTCATAGCAAATATTTGTGGAATTCCTACGTTTCCAACAGTTAGGTAGAATTTACATAGAGCTCCTTTGGGTGCGGGTTAAATTGTTAAGGGATAACCTGTTGTTGACAGTGTCGAAAAACATCTGCGTATACACTCCAATTGCGGAATTTCCAATCTTTTGTATATGACATCAAAGATTTCATATTATTTCGAACCTATTGTAGTATACTTTTCTTAGGTGAAGCTATTGTTAAAATAATATTACTTTCAATACTAAAATGTACTAGATATATTAGTCTCGTGTTACATTGAAACTAAAACAGCCTCTGAAATAAAATCAAGAATGATATATACGTGCTGTAAATGTTGGAAAATACCGACCCATGCGAAGCACACAAATACGATAGAACCGTTGAGGCACTTCAACCTATAATAATAAAAGTTGGTGACCCTCATAACTCATGGTCACCCTTCCATTTGAATTTGGAGATTTGGCTCGACGGATGTCTAGGAAGGGTTCAATAGGCACTTGATTTTATTTTTTCTAGAGTAATGTTAAGAATAATGTACTTAAAAGTTTGCAGTCATTTAAACAAGTTATAGAAACTTATTTGCAGCATATCGATGTAGAAGGCCATACTTTTTTTTATACATTTGATAATATTTTTCTTTGATAATATTCGAATTCTTTGCTTTTGTAAGATAATCTGTTGATCAAGTGATTAGAATTGAAAAATCGCTTATATGTTTACCTCAGATGAAGCTGTGCAAGTAATTGCAATTAATTTTATGTGATTAAAGAGACGTTATTAAAGTGTTTTAATTGCCTCGCCTTATACTTAATATTAAAATCTATCGGGACAGTCAAGATTACTGTTACCTTTACAGCCTTAACAGTTCACTGATGGACATGGACATCCCCTTCTCGGGGGGTATTGCTATACTCACCAGGCTTGGCAGGCGGATTGGCGAGCGCAATGCCAGATGTTTTATTCTCAACAAGGTACGCTGCTGCCCATTTCCTAGATAACTAACGCTTGGTTGCTTTTTACGACACCCACAGGTAGAATGATGATGCTGTTCTAAGCTGGCACCACACAGTGTATTTGCTTATACCACATTGAATGGAATACAAAGAATACAAACCTAAGGCTTTTTAACCTCTTGTTATTAAAACCTAGAATTCTAGATTCAAGTCTGTATTATAATTCTATTGTAATAACTTTGCAGTAATATTTAACTTGTACTCCAATAATTTTCAGGACTTGTTTAGTTAAGGACTGGTTGAACTAGTTTTTGGAAAGTTGAATTGGTTTCTGTGCTTACTATGTTATGGTAATGATGTTATTTTAACTTCTACTCTAGAATCATAGAACGGTACCTAATGTTGAAATTTAAGTTTAAATTACTTTGGCTAGATTGGTAGCTAACCTATTATCGACATCACATCAACCCACCATTTCGGAGTCAATAAAATAGGTAGGTATTAGATTTTCTAATGAACTAAAAATATAAAACACCTCATTGCTTTCCTTTTTTATAGAATGTGAAGATACTTGAATGCTGTTAGTTTGTAGGGTGTATGATTACTTTAGATGATCTGTCAAAATAAAAACTAGCGGTAAGGCACACGTCCGGTTGAAAACATGACTCGCCAATGTAAGAAGCAATGACATCTCAAAATAAAAAAATTATAGTGTTGCTAAAGCCCAGCCAGTCAAGAGAAAAGTACAAGCAGATATTTTAAAAAAACAAAAACCCCCCAGAACAGAAGTTTCAAAGCTATTTTTTGCGTTGAAAATATGATATTTAGAATTAATAAAATTTTAATATTGCGCTGCTGAGACGAATCTAACGACATCAAATGTTACGTCAAAATCCGCCCAGCCTTGTGGGTCTTAACCCGTAAAAAAGAATTTCTTGTCTACATACATACTCCTTAAAAAAAACAGAACCCTGCTTCTGAGGCAGTAGGGTAAGGCAGTACACTTGGGCAGTACATGAATCAAACAGCGTGTTTGAAATAGCTGACTTCTCCTTTATCTTAGGCCCTTAAATCCACGTAAGGGGACATGTATCATCCGCTGAACTGACCTTTACGAGTCCTGCGCACACATTGATAAACCTATAACGGAACATAATGCGGCAACCTCAAATAAATTGTGCTGTGGTAACATTTTTCAAGTTTCTTGGGTCGTGTCCTGTGTTAACCAAAAATGATTTAGGCGAATTTCACACGCATCGGACGGTCGCACAATTCGTGACGTCTACCTACCTTACAAAATGACAACCATTGACAGCCGTAATAAGTATTTGTGTGACGATGGCATTTTAAAGTTGACAAGAACGTTCCACTGATAAACGTGGGCCTTTTATATAAAAAAAAGAGTTTACAGAAGGTTCACTCAAACCTATTTAGGATTTTCACGATTGTCGCTTGTTTTATAACCAGAGTTACTAGATTAAATATGAGGACGAAATACAGATAAATCTGATACAAGAACGTCATATGACTCTGAGCCGTTTTCAATTCAAGAAATATGACTTTCGTGGCAACCATCTTCTTAGTTACCTTAAGTTCTTCTGAGATTCCATTTATTTCCAGTAAAAATCAGTAAGCATCAAAATCGTCAGTCACCGAGTGAGGCATCTGTAAAGGCGCCCCGTGCCTCGTTCCCCAAATCTGGGCTAATATGGGTCATGTTCAGTAATCACCACTCTTGGCGGGTTATCGAGCGCAAGGATTTGCAATTTCAGCGTCAGTGAGCGCTTATGTATGAGACAAAACAAATCATAAACTAGTAGCTCAGTACGCTTAGATCCCATCAGCATAATGGTGGCGGTACACGTGGGCCCTCTCATTACTCATGCCGCCGCAACGCGCAAACTTCGCGATCCTGAGCATTTGGTATGCAAAACTTACGCCAACTTATCTTGGGAGCCGGCTATAATATTGCTTGTTACGTGTTTATACTCCATTAGGCGATGTCAGATTTGTTATTGTGTGATGTAGTGCGGCTGCTGTTGAAACGAGATGGGCAAGATTCTAGTTTGGTGAAGCGCAGCAAAAACGGTAAGCGTAAGAAATAAACAAAACCAATGAAAAACTTAAAGTACTTAACAGCAAAAAAACCCAAAAATGTACTCACCAACAAGCCTTTATTTTTACCCGATTGCCTCAGAAGGAGGGTTAGTTTATATAGTGGTCAAGATACACTTGCAAAAGCGCGGGTTTCGATTAAGCCGCAGTAGCCCAGATGGTAAAGGCGTCGCCAGTAGATGGCGAAGTTCGCTGGTTCAAATCCAGCCTGCGGTGAAAATTTAGCAAGTTTTTCCAAACTGTATACCTAACACGGGGAGTGTTTTAATAATTTGGTATTCAGACTAGCACTAGATCCACACAACTAGGGAACAATAGCAAACAACCATTATTTATAGCTAAAAACTGTGTTCAATGTAAATTTTATCTCGGTGTAAGTCCAAATAATACCTTTCAAGTTCTAATGAATATTAAAAAGCAAATGAAATGAGACCAATTCAAAAGAAACTCATTTAAATTTTACACTCGACTAAACAAAAGTTTCTTCTCTGTAGGAAATGCTTGTTCCAATGGAGGTGTGTTTGATTTTGCAGCCATGGACTAACCAGCCTTAGAAGACTTTGCTTTGATTAATTTAAAACTTTCTTACAGACAGATACACTTTAGAGATTAGATTCAGAGTTTTGATATTTCTTAACTACTATGAATTACTGAAAGTATCAACATACCTTATCTAATATGTTGCACACAAAATAAATATATGATTTCATGGACAGTAAAGATACACATGCAAAAATCACAGCGCTTTTCCGTAAAAGTAGGCAGAGCAGAGTCTACTTACTTACATTTACTACGATGCGATGCCTGCATACTTCTTTCGCTCTATCCACATTCATCAAAGATCGAAAACTTGCATATTTTGGTTCCTCGTTGCTGCCTACAGTAGATAACTAAGCGGTACCAATAGTTATATTATGACGTTGAAGCTATTGGGTGGTCATAAAACTCATAAGTAAGTATCTAGCATCTTTATCTTGCACGCTAGAAAAAGAAAAACAACAAACGAACAATGTAAAAGCGTTGCTCAAACTAAGGTCAAGATACTCGTGAAACAGAGTAGGGTCTCAAGAGTGTTGATCAGTGTTGACAGGTGACATGGAAAGTAGGTCAGTCGAGTGCAGACGTCGGAGACTAGAGACGTGAAAAGTTATTTGTACTCAAAGTTTTGATGTGGTTTTAAAACTACCCTCAATGATTCAAAAAAATGAACGTCACAAAAATAAATAGTCATAAAAAACGCCCGACGAAAGAGGTCAAGAAGTCAAGACACTTGTGAAACAGACGGATATTCTGTAGGGTCTCAAGAGTGTTGGTCAGTGTTGGCAGCTGACATGGAAAGTAGGTCAGTCGAGTGCAGACGTCGGAAAGCTAGAGGCGTGAAAAGTTATTTGTACTCAAAGTTTTTGATGTGGTTTTAAAACTACCCTCAATGTATCCAAAAAATGAACGTCACAAAAATAAATAGTCATAAAAAAACGCCCGACGAAAGAGGTCAAGACACTTGTGAAACAGATGGATATTCTGTAGGGTCTCAAGAGTGTTGGTCAGTGTTGGCAGCTGACATGGAAAGTAGGTCAGTCGAGTGCTGACGTCGGAGAGCTAGAGGCGTGAAAAGATATTTGTACTCAAAGTTTTTGATGTGGTTTTAAAACTACCCTCAATATATCCAAAAAAATGTACGACACAAAAATAAAAAGTCATAAAAAAACGCCCGACGAAAGAGGTCAAGACACTTGTGAAACAGATGGATATTCTGTAGGGTCTCAAGAGTGTTGGTCAGTGTTGGCAGCTGACATGGAAAGTAGGTCAGTCGAGTGCAGACGTCGGATAGCTCGGGGCGCGAAGAGTTTGGTAACGATGACTTGTAAGGGCCTTTTGGCATCGTTGAGCCGGACCGGATCGTTGTTATTGCGCCACACTTCAGTCTGGCTTCTATTTGGATGACATTGTCCGAACTTTGCAGAGAAAAGCTTTTCGTGAAAGAAAATGAAAGACAAGACATTGCAAAAAAATTAACGCTACTTCATTGGAAACGATAAGTTATAAAAAAACTGTGTGAATTAAAAAAAAAGAACTTTCAACTTAACTTTAAACATGTATTTCATTTTATACAGAGCCACTAGAGTAGACTTGTGTGTGGCTAATAGGTATTTTGGCTAAAAAAAGCCCAATCTATATTGTTTCACCAATTTCCTTGGGGTTGTCCTTGACCTTTGTGCCCTAGCTGTAAAATAGATCCCGTACATTCATTTCAGTCATGCAAACTGAAGTAACCTATCCAAAACTCCCGAAGTATTTCGTTTGACAAATGTGAAACTCTAGACACACGGTAAAAAGATAAACAGTAAAGTGTTTTCCATTGCGGAGGTAAAGCGTTTTTCTTAATGATCAATAATCATGTAGAAGATGAAAATGGATCACAGAAACTATAGGGCAGAGAGCCGAGGCCTGGTACCACAAGGTTGCAGAGGTAAACGAAAGGCATTCATTTCTTTTCCACGCCTGCCTTAAAATATGACGGAAATACTTAATTTCATCGCACAGTAACGACACACAGCAAAGTACAAATCTTCATTTTCTGCGACAAACAGGGGACAAAATAAGTTTTGTCGGGTGCCCAATACAGAGAGACGGCTACAAGGAAACGTCACTATAATCATACACACAAGCATCTACATACCGTCGTTTACGCGACTCAAAACGGCTAGTAGTTGAGTGTCAGCGGGCGGACGGTAAAATAACGATAATCTATCCTACTTCCTACTAATATTATAAAGGCGGATGTTTGTGTGTGTGTTTGTTACGACATCATGCAAAAACGGCTGATTAGATTGACATGAAACTTTGCAGAAATATAAAAGGGCATCTGGAATAACACATAGGATACTTTTTACCACGGAAAAATGTCTCATTCCCACGGGATCACGCATTTTCCAATATTTTTGATATAGGTGTCGTGACTGAGCCGATTCGCGTTTTAAACGTTTTCGCCGAAAACTAACAGCGACATCTCTTGGCGAATAATGCTTTTTTTCCCGCGGAATAATAGGTTGCAGCGGGTGAAACCGCTGACGGGCAGCTAGTAGTATAATGAAGTGTTTTAACCATGTTATAGTGTAATTGTAATAAAATGTAGATAAAAAATTTAGAAAGAAATAATAGCAGCCCCAGGGTGAAGGTATGAATGATCGGAAAAGGGCGCGAGCTGTCCTTCTGTAAATTCTCTATTTTGTACAGGGGGTGAAAAATGAAGCGGGCGAGAGGGTCGTTTCATCCACTATTCACATACAGTGTTGATTTTCCACGGTAGGTGTCGGTGTTGCATGTATTATTCATTATTTCGACATCTTATTTACATAAACAAATTGGGAGCCTTGAGTAAGACACACTTCATTTTTGAAATTTTGTACGAGTGTAAGCACAAACGGAATGAAGAGAGACTTGACTAAAATAATATTTCTGCCTACTCTACCATGAATTTGCTTTCTAAGCGCTACGAAAACCCGTATAAGAAATTTCGGCTATGTTTCTATTTCTGTAGGTATCAAAATCTTTGAAACAGGGAACATTGTATAAGCGACTGCATCTGACTTGATTTTAAGTTGTGCAAACGGCTGGTAGAAAACTTGGAAGATTCTAAGGATTCCAACCTGTTTCGTTATAAGTGGGCTACCTAGCTAGTAGTTCAAGACCTCAGTATAGGCCGTTAGTGTGACATTAGTAAAATGATGATTGGATCTTACCAACTCTTAATATGGTGATGTAAAAATACTGGGTGAAATTTTACTAGTGACAGATAGCGAAAACTTAGAACCGGCTTGTGACAAGGAAAAACGTTCCCCAAGGAAAAGGAGTTTAAGATATAATGATATAAGATAATGGTCTTTATCTTCAAACCGAAATCTTAGTTCGTGTATCAAGCAACAAAACCACGCTAGTTCAAACCACCAACACTGGGTAAAGTAATTGAAACGCTTTCTACCCAGTTTATTGCTCTGGGTATTACAAAACACTCTAGAAAATCTCTAGACAGAACGAAATTCCAGAGAAAGGTACGTTTTGTACTAAAGACGTTATTTTATTGTTCTCATGAGACTCGAGATTTAGAACGAAGAGTAAAATGTTGGCTTGTTGAAGAGCAAATATATTTCATACTACATTTTATTAGTTTATACGTCTAGTTTTTCTATGCAAATTATGTTTTGTCTGTGCGAAGCTGACGTAGTTAGATGTTTTTTCAAAAGACGTAACTATATGCCCATAAAAACAGTGTATAATTCAACTCCTTAAAAATAGGTAGGTATAACTAAGTAGCTAAGTATGAAAAGCGTGGCAAAAACATGGCTAATATAGCGAATGAGCATTAAGTTTATTTCAAAAAAACTATCATCTAAACACCTCATCAAAGGTATCAAGCTTGTTAATTACGAGTATAACTCAGAAACATTTGATTGCAATTATTCGAAATGAAATACACAATTTACCTATTTTCTAAACAAGTGGTTCACAGAAGCAGAGGTATTTCAATTTATTAGATACCTGCTCTTATTGGGCCCATCTGGGGATATTATAGGAGACGATGGCTACGATTTTATTTCACCAATAGTGAAGTTTAGTACAGGTAGGTAACAGGTCAATGTAACAGTAGTGATTATTCTCATCTGGTAAAATGTACCCATATTATCTTTCCTGTGGGATTTATGATTTGTGAGTTGAGGTGTATTGTAGTTATAGGCGACAGGCTGAAAATCTGTCAATCTGGTGATACACAGTCTACTGAATGGCTTTCAAGCTTTTTGCCAGACGTGGTGTAAATGGCCGGTTTTTACAGCCGTTTGCGCTCTGCCTTCCCCGCAAGGGGTATAGGCGTGATATATTTATGTATGGAAAATGTACGAGTAAACTTAGGTGACGCTAGAATGGGCTAGTATTAAAGGACTTTTACGTAGGAATGCAGCGACGCCCTGTGACACCCTACACCTCGTGACAAGAGTATAATAATGTACCATATAAGCCGCCAAATAAAACTCGTACTTGCGTCATCAGAATAGTATGAACCGAAAAAAAAGAACCCATGACTTTCAGCGTATCGTTCCAAAACTTTACAAATACATCGTTCATTCATACCATTTACGTTACATAGCTGAAGTGGAAAAGGCAACCTTCCACGAATTGATTATGATTTCGACGTATTTCTAATTAAACTTGTATCTAAG